CACGAATATCCACACATCTTCAGAGTCCTCCACAGACAGCTGGTCTGTCCCAGAGGGGGCATCCGGGAGCCCCTTCTCCCGTTCTCATTGTTGAAAAAATGTTATCAACCGCGTTGAGTGACCAACTGACGAGATCCATTTTAGTGAATTTCAGTTTCCAGTTTCCAGGAAAAATGCAGAAGCAGCCGTGCACCCAGCACACACAGACAGACAAAGGCCTTGAGGATAAGATATGGAGGAGAGGAGAAGAAAAGCGTCTGTACCCTCCAAGAGCCGGAAGAACACAGGGACTCCAGAGGTAGTTGGCAGGTACTGGCAGTTCGAGCGGAACGCAGCTTAGGTGGTCGCAGAGCCAAAATTCCTGGTGTGGGAGGAGTTCGGTGAGTCCAAGGAGCAAGACTTCCGCACGGCTTCGAGGAGATTCTGCTCCACCATCCGGCGCCTCAGGAGAGGAAAGTATTGCACTACCAACATTTTTTATAGTGGGGAAGGTGTGCTGCTGACCTCTACTCGGAGCGTTGTGGATCGCTGGGCAGAATACTTCGGAAACCTCCTCAATCCCACCAACACGTCTTCTAGTGAGGAAGCAGAGTCCCAGGACTTTGAGTTGGGCTCTCCAATTTATGGTGCTGAGGTCACTTAGGTGGTCAAAAAGCTCCTCGGTGGCAAGGCTCTGGGGGTGGATGAGATCCGCCTGGAGTTCCTTAAGGCTCTGGATGTTGTAGGGCTGTGCTGGCTGACGTGGCTCTGCAATATTGCGTGGACATCGGGGACAGTTCCACTGGACTGCAAGACCGGGGTGGTGGTCCCCCTATTTAAAAAGGTGGACTGCAGGGTGTGTTCCAACTACAGGGGGTTCACACTTCTGACCCTCCCTGGTAAGGTCTATTCAGGTGTTCTGGAGAGGAGGGTCCGTTAGACTGTTGAACCTTGGATTCAGGAGTAGCAATATGGTTTTTGACCTGGCCATGGAACATTGGACCAGCTCTATGCCCTTAGGGGGTCCTGGAGGGTGCATGGGATTTTTCCCAACCAACCTATGTGCATTTTGTGGATTTGGAGAAGGCGTTCAACCTCATCTCTCGGGGGGCACTGTGGAGGGTACTCCAAGAGTATGGGGTACCAGGCCCTCTGATACGTGCTGTTAGGTCCCTGTACGACTGGTGTCAGAGCATGGTCTACATTGCCGGCAGTAAATTGGGCTTGTTTCTCGTGAGAGTTGGGCTCTGTCAAGACTGCCCTTTGTCACAGACTCTGTTCACATCATTTCTAGGCGCAGCCAAGGTGTTGAGGGGATCCGTTTTGGTGGCCTGAGGATCGGGTCTCTGCTTTTTGCAGATGATTTGGTCCTGTTGGCTTCATCAGAACGTGATCTTCGGCTTTCGCTGGAGCGAATTGCAACTGAGTATGAAGCAGACCATGGTCTTGATTCGGAAAAGGATACAATGCCTTCTGCGGGTCAGGAATTACGTCCTGCCCCAAGTGGAGGAGTTTAAGTAGCTGGAGAGCGAGATTGATAGGCAGATTGGTGCTGCATCTGCAGTGATGCGGGCGTTGTACTGGCATGACGTGGTGAAGAGAGAGCTGAGCTTAAAGGGAGCCCCAGAACATGTTGGAGGGACTATGTCTATAAATAAACTTGAATTGAATTGAATTGAATTGAACTGAATTGAATTGAAATGAATTGAACTGAATTGAATTGAAGGTATGTCCGTCATCTTGTCTGCATGTAGGTACTCTTGAAGGTATTAGATCGCCTTTCGCCTCTCTCTCACTCCTTCATTCACACACACACACACACACACACACACACACACACACACACACACACACACACACACACACACACACACACACACACACACACACACACACACACACACACACACACACACACACACACACACAGGGCTGGGCGATATGACGATATTAGACCGTTTTACGATCTACACATCTGACGGTCTGTCATTTTTGAGAGACCGTTTTATCACGATTCACAGCTGCTGTTGAATTTTTGCCTCTGAATGAAAAGGGAACTTACCCCAGGCGAATGACACGCCTTTGTTTGACCCTTAACCAATCAGAGTGAGTCATAGTAATATATTAGTGCCCCGCTTGTTTTCACCTTCACCTGTGTGTGAACAAACATGGCTTCGGCGCGGCTGAGCGACAACGAGGTTTTCGTTCCGAAGAGGAACGCAGGGTTTCCTTAGCGCGCGGCGCTAACAACTTAGCGACGTGACATGTCTCGGAGAAAGCGTAAAAACACATTGGACGCTTCTTTTGAAGCAGGAAAATAACACCGCTTCTTAAGCAGAGCACGACGTCGCCTCGGCTCGTTCACCCTCTGCCGAGCCGGTGTCGGTACCGACTGAGCTCGGTCACTGGGTCGATGGAGCTGCCCCGTGACTGCCTGATGGAAAACCAGCGGGTTTCATCAGACTCGTAAAGTTTCTTGTTTTTGTTAGGGACCTCTGTATTTTACCGCTCCCTCCTGCAGTCTTCCCCTATTAACATTTAAAATGATTCTGTAAACTCCATGTATCAATAGAAACAATCTCTGCCAGCTGCAGTAAATGTAGTCTCCAAATAATAAGAGGTGCATTCATCTGTGTATCTCCTTTGATCCGCATTAGTGATATTCTCAGCACCGGAACAGTGAAGCAAAGAAAGATTCCTGAGTTTGTTAGTAATTTTATTTATTAGGTGCATCTAACCTGTTCTATTTTTCTCTGAAATGAGATTAAATCAGTGCTTCTATGGATTGTCTCCACTCTGCACTGGAAATTTTTACTTTATTTAGAGACTTGTTGCAGAAAATATTCAGAATGCGCAGTTTTTTGCTACCACAAGCGATCTCTGGTCCAGCCGCACATCAGAGCCGTATTTGAGCTTAACTATCCACTACATGAGCAACTGGGAGCTACATAGTATTTTGAACAAGTTAATGTTTGCACAATACGTTTGCAATTGACATGTTTGCACTTTAAATATGTTTACGATTTTAATTTATGTTAAGTTACTTGAAAAACGAGAAAAACTGATTTTTGTAATTGTTTCTCTCAGGGCTTTTATCATCTCTGGTGTGAGTTTAAAATATAAGTAGCACTGTGCTGATTATCCCTAATATGAATAAATGTCTATTTATTCAATGTTTCTCTTCTTTAATATGCAATTGAAGTTATGCTATTCATGGATAAAAAAATCGTGATAAAATCGAAATCGTGATAAAATCGAAATCGTGATAAAATATTGGAAAAATCGTGATATTCTATTTTTGCCATATCGCCCAGCCCTAGTATAGCAGTACCTGTATTCACTGTAGCCTGGGCAATCTACATACTAGGATTTAACACTGTTAGCTATCAGTTTGGTCCATAGGCGTCATTTTAACCGGGGACGCCGGGGACATGTCCCCAGGCAAAATTTGTGATTGGCCGCTGTGTCCCCCCCACTTTCAAAAAAGCCTGCTGATTAGGTTTTTTTTACCAGCTCAGATGTATACCTACGTCTGTCCCCAGCAGATTTTTAAATGTTGCAACTGGCATCTAATTATTTATACTTGAGCTTTAAATAAAAATAAAACCGTAATCAATTTAGATTATTTTTGTAACATTACTGAAAAAGTGCCCTGCGTTATGCTGAGTACGGCTGCCACCCAGCTGTCAGCAGTTGTGATAAGCAGGAGAGCACGTCACCCACACTGCTCAAGAATCCCTTATTCTTCTTTAGCTCCAAGAGGTAAGCAATGTTATATTTTATTTAACACCAAAAGAAGGCGATATTTTAATGTGATTAATGCAGGCGTCCTTCAGGCGTGCTTACAGCCACCCCAGCTGTTAGCATGTAGCTGGTGGAGGTGAGTACACGTGAGCAGAATTATAAGTTGTTAAAAAGTCGATTTTAAGTTGAGTTAAGTAGCTTTTGTGACTTGTTTTTGACATGCGAGGGCTCTTGGGAGTGTTCTGTGAGAAGTTTAGCTGTAGCTTTAAAAAGAAAAGCAAGTTATATGTGTGATAATGCTTCGATTAGCGTGTTGCTAATAGAAGCTAACTTCTCGTGAGTGAGTGTTAAGTTACTTCGCTGTCTTAACCTGAACAGAGTGTGATGCTGGATAATACACATTAGCCACGTTTACATGCGCAAAATCTCCTCTATCCGATGAAAATCTTGGCTGTTCAGAAATCCCAGAACATTGCTTAAGAGAAAACCATATAATGGACTGGGACAGCACACGGATCATAACCACTGAACAACAAAAATACAAAAGATGGATCAAGGAAGCAATAGAGATAAGGAGACGTGGATGTGGGACCATGAACAGGGACGACGGAGTTTACACGCTGGACCACGCATGGGACTGCATCGTCGGAGAGGGGAGAGCGGGCAGTAGAGGGCGACAACGTCCTCTGCTGCCCGCAGATAAACAGAGAAGGAAGTGACGCGCCACCATCAGCGTCAGCCTGAAGAAGCCGGCAGTTGTCGGCGAAACCGTAGCTACAAACAGGTAAACAAAACTGTTTCTGTGTTTAAAAAAAGAACGAAAGCATGGATTTACAAAGACACAGCAAGAACACACCTAAGATCCCAGATGTCTGTAATGGACACTAATTTATGCACCAAGCATTCCATCCGAATAAATAGGTTGAGCATGCGCAGAGAATTGTATTTCTTGGAAAAGATGGTAAACAAATGCCATGAAACGAAATGAAAAGTGTAATGTGCAGAATTTTTGATCTGACTGGGTGTTCAGTCCATTTACTTGTGCCCATTTAAACGTGGCTAGTGATGGAAATTGTGTGTTCTGTTATACCAGGTAGGCTCATGTATGAATGTTACAGTAGAAAAATGTATTTGTGTTACAAGTGTTATTAGCAACTTTTGGTCATCCACTATAATCTGTTTTTTATGTAAAATGTGAAAAAAAAACTTGAATAGTAATAATAACCACTATACAATCACGCAGCACAGTAACATGCAAGTTGGTGGAGACCCCTGTGTGAGGCTGGATAATATTGATGGAAATTGTGTGTGTTCTGTTGGACCAGATTGCTGCCAATAAAAGCAAGTTGAAGAATAATCTGGTGCCATAATCTGCTTTTTGGTGAATGTGGAGCACAAGAGTGATGACACAAATTGTCCAGACCACATCTACTGAGCAGGTCAGAAGGTGATCCGTTACATTAGCCGTTCTCTCTTTATTTTGTTTGGATGCCTTGATGAATCTTTTGAAGCTTAAAACATTATGAAGGATTCTTTAGTCAAAGATGGATCAGTTAACTGTTTTATTAACAGAACAAAAATGAAAAGGGAAATAACCATTAAGTTTGAATGCACACAAATACACATTGTGAACACACTGAGAACAGTTGCATTCTGACTGACCTGTGTGTGTGTGTGCCCTACTACTAGCGTGCCTGTCAAATGACTCCCTAGCCTTCTTCCAGTTTCTGAACCCCAGAGAAATATAGGTATGTTCAGTTTTTTGCCATTGTTTAAATGTTCTTTTTAAAAGCAGTTGTGCAGTAGAAGCACAAAACTCCTTTTATTTCAGGACTGTAATGGAGCCAGGGGAAGATTTTGAACCAGCTCTCCTGGAAGTGAAGAGTGCGGTTCGGCAGAGTTTGTGGCTCGATTAGCTGTGCTGCTGGTTGGTATGGGGAACCTGGACCCTCAGCTGTATGGATCTGGTTTGCGTGTGGAGCGTTATCCTGCTTCCCCACATCAGTAGCTGATGACTCGACCTATAATGTAATAATTCAGTTGTCATTAGTTTCCATACATAGTTCTCAGAAATGTTTTGATTCTACACAGTGTTCTCCAATTGGTCTACTATTGCCATTATGTTATATACACAACTTACTTTTCTGTTTGTATTTTAGTAGTAATTGTAGTGTTGTAGATCTATCTGTTGTTGTTTTAATCAAATCTGTTTTCCTTCCACATTTTTGTACAAGTTGAACCAATGCAAAGCCCTGCAGATGGATAAAACTTGCACATGTTTGCTTCCTGAACCCTCACCTGCTGAATCTGATCTGAGCTTGTTTCAACACTCTCCATTTCTTCATCCAGTGATTGCACTTGCTGTAAGAGTATACCAAATTTGGTTTCATATTTACTGTAAGGTTATATGATTTTCTGTTGATGTGAATTTCACCTCTCCATTCTCAGCTGCCTGTTCCTGAATGTGTTCATTTTCCTCTGTCACATGCTGTTCCTGATAGAAAATGGATATTCAAATAAACATTACAACTTTTGTGATTTTATTTTTTTTATTTTGCTAATGCAGCATAGACTTTGACTTAATTATTTTTGGTTTTGTTGGAAAAGTATAGGTTCTTTGGGTGTCCATTAGTTGGCATCCAAAAAGGGGACACATTCCTGAAGCACTGAACTTGTGTGTTGTTTACTTGAAGAAAGCTTTTGACTTTAAAGTGTGCCGGTTCTTTGTGGTTAGAAAATATAAATAACTTCAGCTAGGCTAATAAGTCAGAAAGTAAAAAAAAAAAATAAAAAAATCTGTGGAAATAACTTAACGGTTTAAAAAAAGATAACCTGAAACAAATTGGTCAGTCATATGGGACAAAAATGTGATTTTTTTTTTCAAATATAATAAAACAAATGGCATTAAGACACATGTGACTCTAGGGGGTGCTGATTCCTACTGAACAAACGTAGTGCTATTTTGTTTTATCAATGCCATCAAAATCTGATTTAAGGTTAACACAGTTTTGCAAGGCTATGGAAGGGCTGGGCTGGTTAAGGTCATGTAGGGTCACACGGTTAGCATCTGGTTTCCCAGTCACTTTTACACCACAAAACTTTATTCTGAGACTTATTCATTTCTCACACTTCAACCTAAAATTTAATCCCTCTAACACTTTAATTATGGATGGGTCATTTCACATAATGGGACCATTTTCTAGATGGGGACCTAGTTGGAATTAGTTAAACAGCACCATTCAGTGACAGGTGCAACACCTGTATGTCGGTAGGCTACTGCAACCTCCTTTCAGAACTATCCACTTGAGCAGGTCGGGAGTATATCACAGGGCTGTGCTGTCGTGTTTATGTATTGTAAGATGAAGTCTTCTGAAAAATGATGAAAACCTAGACATTTTATCAACCTATGAAATCTTCCCAGATTCCCCTAATAGCACATGAACAGTAAAAATGTCACGGGAAAAAGAGGTTTGATCACCTAGCATAAAGTGCGTGGTTTTTAACCATTATTGCTGCTAGCTAACTGTACCAGTAGATGAGAGAAACATTGCCCTCTTATCTACTGCTAAGTAAGTCAATATCAAATGATAAAACTGGATATCTTAGTCTTTTTTGTTGGGATGCACTTACAGCACATTTTTCTAGCAGAAAAACCATCTGATATCGGTTGCGTTCTTTCTTTTCGACATGGTCGACAGACACCTACTTTTCACCTACTTCAGCTTCTTAACTTTAAAAAAAAATCAATGAATCCGGTAGTTCACGGACAGCTAGCCTGTCGGAGTGTGGAGATGACCAGAGAGTGGAGCCTGATAAAAAGATGAGTATTTTTCTCTGAAAATCTTATTTGACAGTCACAAATAACATAACAAGGATATATATAATATAATACAATAATAATAATACAATATCTTTTTTGCTAGGCTAGCTATATGGATGTAAAGATTCCACCTTGCTTACAGGCAAATGAGGTGTTTCAGTGCCGTTGGAAAAACAAAACAAAACAGGATTTTTAATAACTGTCAATACACTCCTCTGCATATTGGAGTGAAACATTAAAAACTGATGAATACTTAAATATGCTAGCCTATTTAATGATTGTCCCCAGCAATTTTTAAACCCCACTCAAGTGTATGGTTATTGTCCCCAGCAATTCTAAAAACAAACTGACGCCCTTGGCAGCAGGTGACGCGGAGTCCTGTGACGGGCCACGTCTAGCGTCTTCTGACCCTCTGTTTGCTGACTCTGTAGATTTCTCCATGTCCTGCTGCACTGTCTCCTGAGGTTCTGTGTCTTTTCCTTCTGGATGTAGCTGAAGGTCTACTCGATTTCTCCTCAGGGACACTCCACCCTCCATCTGGATCCTGTATGAACGTGGTGCCACCTCCTCCTTCACCTGACCTTGATGTCTCCAGGTCCCTGTAGTAATGTCTCTGAGACGCACCTTGTCTCCTGGCTTCAGGGAAGGCAGGTGTCTCACCGTGCGATCATGCAGCTGTTTTTGTTTCACCTTTTGTCCATCCTTTGTTTCCTTAACTTTATGTGCAGTTTTTGGCGTCAGCAGGTCCTCATTAACTGGTAGGTTGGATCGAATACGTCTCCCCATCAGCATCTGAGCTGGTGACATTCCATTCTGCAACGGTGTGCTTCTATAGATCAGTAGGCTCTTCTGAAAATCCTCTCTGTCCTGAGCTTTTTTCATTAATGTTTTTATTATCTTGACGGAGCTTTCTGCTAAGCCGTTGGACTTTGGATATATGGGGCTTGATGTTGAGTGTTGAAACCCCCATTCCTTAGCAAAGGTGGCAAACTCACAGCTGGAAAACTGGGGCCCATTATCGGAGAAAAGTTCACATGGGACACCATGCCTGGCAAAGACAGTCTTGAGATAAGCGATTACTGCTTTACTTGAAGTTGTCTGCAGTAGCCCAACTTCTGGATAGTTTGAAAAGTAATCTGTCACCACTATGTAACTTTTCCCATCAAAATCAAACAGGTCTGTTCCTACCTTATAGTAAGGTCTGTGTGGTGCTGGGTGAGCCAGCAGTGGCTCCGCCGGCTGTTTGGGCCTGTAGATGCGGCACTGTTCACATGAAGCTGTGGTCTGGCTGATGTCTTGGTTGATTCTTGGCCAGTACATTACTTCTCTTGCCCTGCGTTTACACTTGACCTCTCCGAGGTGACCTTCGTGGATCTTTTGGAGCATCTGTTTGCGTACTGAGGATGGTATGACATATTTGCTCCCTTTCATCACTATGTCATCCACCACTGTTAGTTCTCCTCTGCAGTTCCAGTAATCCTGGATTTTTGTGCTCTTAAGTTCATTCATGACTTCGTCTGTATTTGTCTCTATTTTTATCTGTTCTGATCTGTCAGCAGATACTGGCAGAGATGTCCTCACCGTGTCAACATGTTTTTATGTGCTTAGCAGACGCTTTTACCCAAAGCGACTTATGATTTTTTTTTTTACCTATAGGGCATGTTGTGATCTGTGGGGGAAACCGGAGTACCCGGAGAAAACCCACGCATGCAAGGGGAGAACACGCAGAAAGGCCGCAGCCGAGTTTGAACCTGCGACCTTCGTGTTGCGAGGCAACAGTGCTAACCACTGCTCCACCATGCAGCCATACATGAAAAGTCTGGACATACACATGCTTGTATGTCCAGACTTTTCTCAAGGTCTTCATGCTCTTCCTTATCCACTGCTCTTGATGATGTATCAGCTGTGTACATATACTTTCCTTTGGTGTAGATCATGTGCACGTCGTATTTCTGTAGCCTGATTAGCATGCGCTGTATCCGTACTGGACAGTCATTCAGTGGTTTGGACATGATGGACACCAGTGGTTTGTGGTCAGTTTCCACTTCAAAAGTTTGGCCATAGACATACTGATGGAAACGTTCACATGCATACATGCTCGCTATCAGCTCCTTTTCGATTTGAGCGTATCGTGTCTCTGCACTCGTCAAAGCTCTGGATGCATAGGCTACCGGCAACCACTGTTCCTCATGTTGCTGCAACAGCACTGCACCCAGTCCGTGTTGTGATGCATCTGCTGAGATCCTGGTGCTTCTCTCTGGGTCATAAAACTTCAGCACTGGCTCTTGTGTGAGAATCTCTTTTAACTTTAGAAAACATTGTTCTTGCTCATGGGACCAGATCCATTCATTCTTTTGTTCAAGCAAACTTCTGAGAGGGGCTGACACTGTTGACAGTTGTGGGACCAACTTTGCCAGATAGGTGACCATTCCTAGAAACCTTCTGACGTCGTCTTTGTTGTTTGGTCTTTCCACGTTACATATTGCTGACGTTTTCTTTGGGTCTGGCTTCACCCCGTTCTCACCGACAACATCTCCCTCAAATGTAAGTTTTTTCACTCCAAACTCACATTTATCTTTGTTTAGTTTCAGATTGACTTCTCTTGTCTTGTCTAGTACTTGTCTCAGTCTTTGGTCATGTTCTTCTCTAGTGGTTCCCCAAACTATGATGTCATCCATCATGGTCTCCACTCCTGGAATGTGCTCAAAAATCATATGAATGGTCTTGTGGTGGACTTCAGGAGCTGACAAGATGCCGTATGGCAGACGAGGAAACCTGTATCTGCCCTCAGGTGTGTTGAACGTACAAAGTCTAGAGCTCTCCTCGTCCAGCCTCAGCTGCCAGAAACCTGATGAGGCATCTAGTTTACTGAACCATTTAGCTCCGGCAAACTGTGCCATGATTTCTTCTCTGGTTGGCAGCTTGAAATGTTCTCTTTTAATAGCTTTATTTACATCCCCTGGATCCAAACATGTTCTGAGAGCACCTGTTTTCTTTTGTAGAACCACCAGTGAGCTGACCCATTCAGTTGGCTCATCTATTTTCTTGATGAACTCTAGTTTTTCCATGCGTGCCAGTTCGTCTTTTAGTTTTTCCCGCAGTGCAAATGGGATTTTCCTACCGGGATGCACAACAGGTGGCACGTTTTTATCCACACATATTTCATGTTGTCCTGGGAGACATCCAAGTCCTTCGAAACAGTCTTTATATTCTTCCATGAGGGAATCCTGATCATTCGGGGCTTCTGGTGTGGAGACTATGTACACCATTTTAACCAGGTTGAGCTTTACGCATGCACCGAGTCCTAGGACTGGTTGTACACTCTTATCCACGATCAGCAGCTGTGCTCTTATCTGGTGTTTTTTGTATCTGAATGTCGCAACACATCCTCCTTTAACAGGAACTCTCTCTCCTGTGTATCCAGTGACTTTTATTTTCACAGGATGCATTTTGCTCTTTTTTGTCATAGCTTTGTAACGTTCCCATGATACCAAGTTAACCTGGGCCCCTGTGTCCAACTTGAATGGAATTATTGCCTCATTGACCTCAACTGGCACCACCCATTCCTCTTTCTCTGATGTAGAGGTGTGTACTTCATCTATAATGAACTCCTCCTCATCCTCTGCTTCTTCATCAACTGTGGGAACTTTCTGTTTTGGAGCTGCTTTACAACATTTGGCATAGTGATTCATTTTCCCACAATTGTTACAGGATT